AAGAGGGTATAAGCGTAATTACGCTTTTAATTCTCACTAAATAAGCGACACGTGACAATTTCATCACTTATTATAACATAAAAATAAAATTTATTAACGGAATAAAATGCAGGAGAAACATATATTACTTTTTAAAATTTAAAAAGTAAAGTGTTATAATAATTATAATTCATGATAAATTTTTAAAATTAATCCAAAAGAAAATGAAAGCTTGAAAAGACGACGACACCCAAGGTAAATATCAGCAATCGAGGAAGACACTCGGATGAAAACGATAAATATGAGAAGACATCACGAGAACGTGTGCATGTGTTACAGCAAAAAGAATCTTCCATTCGCACGGAGACGAATTTGAATCAACACTTGTAGCAAAAATAGAGACAAAACAAATTATACGTTTTAAAAGTTTGAAAATTTGAAAGCTATATTTTTAAAGAATAAAACTATAAGTGTTTCTTAAATACAGTCAAAATAAAAGGTAAAATTTCTCTAAAAAAAAAAAACAGGTAAAAATTCCCATATAAAAAGTAGAAATAACATAAGCCAATGGACAACAACTTTGAGATTAAATATAAAAAAAAAATAACAGGTAAAATTTCCCACATAAAAAACTAGAAATAATATAAGCCAATGGACAATAACTTTGTATTTCACTCTCACAAAAATTCCCATATAAGTTGCTTAGGAAAAATGAATAGCATAGCGATTATGGAGAAGGGAAATTTGAGTGACGTTCTTCATCAGAATTTCATTATTTGTTTGCATCAATATGGCTGACATTTAATTTCCAGATTCACGTGCAAATTTTGAATATAAATAGTACGCAAATAACTTTGAAAAATAAGAACGCATCCATTGAATAATTGTCTCAATCAATCACAAGTGGAAGGAGTGTATTAAAATTCAACTTCACATGCCCAGCAGGGATACATAAATTCAGAATAAAAAAAGAAAAAATTAAGAAACATTAAAATTTGCAGCAAATCTATGATCCTATCACGCCCTAATTTCCATCCTAATCTCAAACTTGTCTTCTAAGATAATGGCTCATTAACTTCTAAAAATCACAATCTAGCCAATAAGAAAACAAAGAATAATACTAAATGTCACTTGGCCGCCAATAACATGACGTAACCAAATCTTTTTTTTTTCTTTTGTGCATATTTTTTATTTTTATTATTTTTTTTATAACAATGCATTGCTACATTTTCAAACATTGCGTCTGCTTTGAGAAGCACCCATCATGATTTGTCTTTATCCATCTTTTACATTGTTTTTAAGCGTGCATTTGGAAGAAGGATTCATGTCATGATTCGAATCATAATTCGTAACTCGTTACAGTATTTTCTCTTATAAAAAAATATACGTAAGAAAAGAATAATTTTAAATCATAATTTTGAATCTATAAACTAAACGTCTCATAATATTTACACAATTAATCAAGAAAAAGTATACTAACATGTTACTTTGGAAAAAAGAAAAAAAAAAAAAAGAAAGTAAGAAATAAAGTAGGTCATCATAGAATTTGCTTAAGATTTTATCTCTGACTCTAGAGATCTCCTATAGGGTAGAATAGGGAAGAAAAAAATTGTTAAAACGTTATATTGGACCCGAACAATGGGGAATTGGAAATAATAACGGTTTCACATTATCTGTCTTTAATTAGTTCAGCTTATCTTAGTTATGACTTATGATCACCTCTTCAACAAATTACGAAGTAAAAAATTGTTAAAGCTACTTTTTAACTTGACTGAAGAGAAGCCAATCCCTAAAGCAATGGCATGATATCTGGGATTAACTGATTTAACGGTTTTGTTGATTGATTATAAGGAGACTCACATGCATTGCAATAACTGTCGTTTTCACACGTAAGATTTAAAGAATTTTTCAGCTGCCCAATCACCGTATTCTGTGTTTTCAAGTCATTTGATTTGAACTACGCATTTGAATATTCTTATAGGTTAAGATGATACGCTTCATCTTCTAACATAAATAGTTAGAGCTTAATGCGAAATTTTTAAAAATACCCTTTAAAATAAAATTTTTATTTTTATTTTTATCCCTTAACATTAATCAATATATTTCTATCTTTAAAATTAGAACTAGTTAAGGAGTCGAGTTTTTTAAAAGGAGTACTAGTAAGTCAAGTACTTAGACGTAAAATTTATAATTTTCTCATATTTCTTCTTATGTGGGGACCCTTGTAAGTTATAATCACTTTCTTAATTAATTGTCATGATGATTAATTACTTTACGTGGAGGGTTTTCTTTAAAAATTTGATTAAAGGTAGTTTGGAGATTTTACACTTGTAAAATTTAATTGTCCTAATTTTCATTATAAAATAAGGTCTCCATTTTCCGAGGTTAATTAAAGAGGTAGAGAAAACTACGGAGAGTGAGGTATATAATTTTTTTTTTCTGTAACTCCTTCATCATAGTGCAGCAGTTAAAAGAAAAAATAGTTTTACATTGAAGCGAATTTCTATAAATTTTGTGGGTCGAGTTTTATTGATTTATTTTTTGAGATTTTAGGGTTGTTTTTTTGGAGTGTAATTTGAGTATAATTTTTGAGTTATAACTTGAGTTGAAGTTGTAACTTGAATAAAGTTGAGTAAAGTTGAATAAAGTTGAAACTTAAAAGAACATGAACTTAAATAAAGTTAGAACTCGAGTTGTCTTTTTCTAGGGCTTGTTCTTTTGATGTTTTTGAGTTAGGTAACTTGAGTATAGATTTTGAGTTGAGTTTGAGTTATAACTTGAGTTGAAGTTGTAACTTGAGTTTGTGTTTGGTTGTTTACATTTGAGTTATGGTTTGAGATAAGAATCTTTTTTGAGTTTGTGTTTGAGTAAGTCAAAACTTAAATTTATTTTTAGATAGTATTTTAATAAAAACTCAATGCTGATGAAAAATTTTAATAGGGCATATGAGTCTAGTTTTATTTGTATTTTCGTTATCAACGCATAGAAAAAAAATCATCTCAATCAGAATTAAAACGAAAAAGTTATAGCATTTTTAATAATAGAAAAAATACTGTTCATTAACTTGAGTTCGAATTTCTGAACTCGAGTTGAAAGGGAAACTTGAACTCGAGTTTTAGTTTCAAACTCGAGTTTAAACTTAAAAGAACATGAACTCAAATAAAATTATAACTCGAGTTATTTTTTTTTAAATTTTTCACTCAAAAATTATCTCACCGAACAGGCCTTAAATTTTTTAGATAAAAGAACAACCCATTTATTTCTCTCGGTTACGTCGAATTTGGGCATTTAACTTTTCGTATATTTTGCCATATCCTCTGCCGCTTTTGGTGGCTTTTCCAGACAAGACTTTGACGTCTTCACAATATTTTTCCGCAACTTACAGAAAACATGCCTCAGACATTTCTTCTAGAGGCTTCAATGTGACAAATGATGAAGTTAAATAAGTAGTGTGATATCACGTCTTATTATTATTGGGCGCCATGACTACAAAACTTGTGAGCTATAAACAATATATAACCTCATAACACCCTGCATATGACTTGTCCAATATATAAGCGTAACACATCTTGATTCTTGGCTCAAAATGGTCTTCACATATACATGTAATAATAAATACTGATTTGGGTAATGACTCATGAGCTGTAGTGTATATATTATATACGTTATCTATGTCTAATTTTTTTAGCCTAGTTGAGGAAGCCAACTTGTTAGAAATAGATGTACAATTGAGTCAGTTTAATACTGCTGTACTCTTTTTTTTTTTTAAAGAAAATTTTGAACGCGTTTGGAACTCATTTTAAAATAATTTTATTTTTTGTATGAAAATGAAAATGAAAACGTTTTCAATCTCAGACAAAAATCATTTTTGAAAATGTGTTAGTTTTATCAAGAGATCATTTTCAGTATAAAAACCCATTAATTTATCTCTCTCTCTCTGCTTGAGAGAGGAGAAAACGAAAAATGAAAAATGACTAAAAATCGTTTTTTATTTCTCTCTCATTTTACACTAAACCAAAAAATCGTTTTTATTTTCGTTTTTTATCTTTATTGCGCCAGACACAATTTTGAAAACGTTTTTATTTTTTCTTTCTCGAAAAACGTAAAAAAATTAAGATCAATTCTAAACACGACTTTTATTTTACTTTTGCCAACATAAGTTAAAAGCTGTTAAAAGTTAAAAAAAAAAATTAGCTTCTCAAAATTGCTACAATAAGTGGTTAAATTCATATCCTACAATGGAAGATTTTAAAAGTAATTGCATACTTTTTTTTTGTTTTAATGTGCAATATTGATTAGATACCCTGCTATAAAAAGCTAATATTTAAGAATTGCAATTGTAAAACCGAACTGACCTCCATGAAGAATCACGTGCCTAATTCTCTGGTTTAGAAGATGGTGATTAACTTCCTAAACCGTTGTTACTTTATTACTCCTTTAACACTTGCAAATATTCTGCCCATGTTGCAGATATATAAAAGAACCAGGATCATTGCTTGCTATTAGTGCTCTATCCAAGATATAACAAGCGCCAGGATTATCAATGATTGTTCTGATTATTTTGCACATTCGTTTACATTAGAGTCTAAGTTGAGAAAATCCAGTTGGATTATTGAATATTTGAGAGTAAATTAACAAGAGAAAATCGGTGTTTGATGCGAAATCTCATATCATTATCAGCGCAATAAAATCGCATCAAGTTTCCTAGCTAGATGGCGGATCATCTACGTTTTCCCAAATTGAGTTTTTTTTTTTCCCTAAGCAAACTTTACAAGGAATGTCATGAGAGTAATCTAATTTATCTAATATATAAAAAAAGAAAATGAAAATAATAATCATAAACCGGAAAAAGAGTCAAAACAAAGGAAAGATATACATTCCTTGTCTTTACTAAACTGTATAGCTCATGTATGCACAGTGCAAGGCCTCTCTTACCTATATAAACATAATGTATGTTCATCAATATTAGCCACAACACAACAAACACACTCATTTCTTAATTCTTCTCCATAACTCTCTCTCTCTCTCTCTCTCTCTCTCTCATAAAGATGGGTACGTTAAAACTAAAAAGCCTTTCATTCAACATATTTCTCATTGCGTTGTTAGTTTGTCCTTTTTCCATAAGAACTTGCCATGCTAGACAAGGGAAACAGTACTGGCCGATGCCAAACAAGTACTTCCCTACGTCGATGAACAACTACAACTTTGCACCGGAAAAGATCAGCGGCGATAACTCTGCCATTTTCAATGTGTTGGACTATGGTGCCAAGGGCGACGGACGAGCAGACGACACGAAGGTCAGCAAATCAAAACGCTTGTTTTAATCCCTTTCCTATTAAGCTTACATGTCAGTACAGTACGAAAGTATACTTCTCTTGTTTTGTATTATCATTTTATTGCAAAACCAAAGTACGTGTTTAATCACATGTACATGTGTTGGAAATGGAAAGTTAATCTCGTACATTTCTGTTTTTTCTGTTTTCTGGTGTACTCGTTAGCCAAATTCATCTTTCAGTTCCGGTTTTACACCAACTTTTTAGGCATACCAGTCTCTCAATCCACTATTATGCTTTTGGCTTCTATCCCCATCGTGAGCAGCACTTCAGAAGTTGACTGGGCCCGGATTAGAAAAAATGGCTTATGCTGCCAAATTTCTAAATGCCCACTTGAAGTTTATAGTCAACCGAGAAAATAAAATGCTTAAAAAATTGAATAAGTAAGGTGGCCCCGCAACGTAACGTGAGGCTGTGAGACTCACTTTTTATTAGTTACAGTGCTTAATTAATTAATTCTAAATGTCCTTCCGTTGAAGAATTCGAGCCTCCTCTACAAACACAATTACCAGAGTGTTGTCTTTTGTGGGTGTTGTTATTGTCGTTTACTGCTCTATAGCGGCTGATCAATGCAAATGATAGGCCTTTGAAGCAGCATGGGAAGCGGCTTGCAAAGTGAAGGCATCAACAATAACTGTTCCATCCGGGTCTGTGTTCCTTGTCAAGCCAATCTCTTTCTCTGGTTCTGGTTGTCAGCCTGATATTGTATTTCAGGTGAGTCACAAATCCTTAGACACAACTAAACTGCTATTTTCTAATGACCAACAATACTAAACCATCAATGATATTTTGCAGTTGGATGGCAAAATTATAGCTCCAACAGACTCAGGGTCATGGGGTTCAGGTCTTCTACAATGGATTGAGTTCGCAAAGCATGACGGAATTACAATCAAAGGCAAAGGGATTATTGATGGACAAGGTTCAGTATGGTGGAATGACTCGCCTACATACTATCCTACAGATGACTTTACATATAACAGTTCCGAGGATTTGGTATTTGTCCACATTATGCCATTGTTTTTTCCTTTTTTGTTTTTTTTTTCTTTTCTTTCTTTTTTCAACGTTTTAAATAGTCATTACTTGGAGATAGTCCTCTAGCAGAACTAACCAAACATTATCTTTCCCTAAAAATATTGTTTAGCAGCAGACAGAGAGTAACAGCGGGAAATTGCCAAACACCAAACCGACGGTAACGATCACCTCGCCTGAAAGCTTATCATTAAAAAAAAAATAATAATAATAAAAAATAAAAAAAAACTGAAAGTAGAAATATAAATAGGTGAGTGGGGATGTATGTTTTTATGCACAGGCCCTCAGGTTCTATGGAAGTAATGGTGTGACGGTCACTGGGATAACGATTCAGAACAGTCCTCAGACCCACCTCAAATTCGACGATTGCACAAATGTTCAGGTTTTCAGCGTTGGTGTATCATCACCTGAAAGCAGCCCCAACACAGACGGAATCCACCTACAGAACTCCCAAGACGTGGTCATCTATAACAGCAATCTTGCTTGTGGTAATTTTTCTTTGTAGCAGAAATTTGGTTTTGAGTGAAAAGCACTAAACTAAGGCTTGAATTCACAAAAATGATGGAATCAAGGTGACTTTGAATTTCATCAAAATCTTCTACTCCTAACTGCCTTCTGCAGGAGATGACTGCGTATCTATACAAACTGGGTGCTCAAACGTATACATACACAATGTCAACTGTGGACCTGGACATGGAATCAGCATTGGAAGTCTGGGGAAGGATAACACCAGAGCATGTGTTTCGAATATCACCGTCCGAGATGTCAAAATACAAAATACCTTAACTGGAGTCAGAATTAAAACGTGGCAGGTACAAATGTCCTGTTCTCTACCTATTATTTCCCCATCTCACTTGAGTGTTTGATTGTTGTGTTTTAATGCTTTACTCTTTATGCATCTAAGTCTTTGATTGTGGTTTTCCACTGCAGGGAGGGTCAGGCTCAGTGCAAAATGTTATGTTCTCCAACATCCAAGTTTCTGAAGTAAAAACTCCAATAATGATAGACCAATTCTACTGTGACAAGAGCAAGTGTGCAAACGAAAGCTCAGCTGTGGCAGTGTCGGGCATAAATTACATAAATGTTAAAGGAACTTACACAGAGAAACCTGTTCATTTTGCCTGCAGCGATAGCTTGCCTTGCACTGGCGTGTCTCTAAACACCATACAGCTAAATTCCGTCCAAGAAAGCGAACACCTGTCTGGTCCTTTCTGTTGGGAGGCATATGGAGAGCTGGAGACTGCAACTGTCCCTCCAATTGACTGCTTGAAGACAGGCAAACCTTCGGGTGCCACAGTGCAGTCTAAGAGTGATTATTGCTGAGCTGAGCTTAGCTAAATTAGACTGGATATCTCATGCAAAAGGAACCAATACGTGTAATGATAATAGCAGTAGACTTCTTGTATTCTACTCAGATACTTTTTCTTTGGGGTGGAAATACAATGCATCTTGCTTTTAAATTAAACATGGTTATGTGTATTGAAAGGAGGAATACATAATACAATATTAACAAAATAATAAATGCAGCAATCTTCCCAGTTTAGGCACGCAAAGCAACAGTCAATTTGAATCTGAACCATCTATTATTGATCTACTCAATAATAAATTGGAGATTGGAAGTATACATTTTAGGAATTCAACATGTGTATGCACGAGTAATAACTTCTAAAATTCGTACAGCTAAGCTGTAGAAAGGAAAGGGACATTGTGTAGTAATGCTGTGTCAAGAAATTGTACAGCTTTCTTCGGCTGAAGAAGATTCTCCTACTCTTCCAATAACTATGCAGGGTCCAGGTGAAGCAGCCATGATCTCCAGCATTACAGGAAAAATATGGTTTGCTAAAGGTGCGGAGCATCATCTGCGGCCAACTCTTCCAAGACCAAGGAAATTATTAAAACCTACGGAGAATGATTTGACAATTGATAAAACCAATCTAAACCCCATCAAAAACATACAACTGAGGCTAATCTTTGGCCTGGTGCCTAATATCCTGGATTCAGCATGGACAAAAGATTAATATAATGAACAATATTAGTAATTAGAAAATTTTGAAATTTAGAAGTAAACCTGATATTTCCATGGAAACACTATCATGATGATTTTCCAAAACCAACAGCAACCTTTTTCTTTTTGCGGGTTTCATCGATCCTTTCAGGACTTGGAAATCCTGTCTTATCCTCGTACTTCTTTTCTAAGGACTGTTATCATTAGAGAATAAAGCAAATTAATACTTTCCTATTGTAATTAGTGTGAGAGTATTTTCCATCCCATCCACAGACGTAGCTTCCAACAAAAACAGAAGATAAGTTTAATACATCATTGTGGAAGACACTACTGGATGGAGAAGGAAAAATTATCTTGTGGATCTAGAAAACATGCACCAACAAAAATGCCTACGCACCTGTAACTGCGCACGTATACCATCAAGAACTCCTTCAGTCATTCTATCAAAGAAAAGTACACCCTGCAAACATGGTTGCCATAGGAAAATAAAACTATGGGTGAACGACTGCGAGAACTGGACCTTACAAGATTTAACTAATTTACTTAAACATAACAAATTTCAACTCTTGAAGCTTTGTCCACTCTTTTTATGTATGTAAAACATGTGACGCTTCTATCTTCGGAGGGAAGGAGAAGATTTGAAGAAACATATTGGAACATGAGATGCTGCTTGATGACGGGTATTTCTACCAACAAATCAAGTACTTTTAAGCTTGAATATTTGTAAGTTTTCAAGCATTGTTGTTAGTTTAATGTCTTTTGTATGCTTTTTATAGGAATTAGGAATAAATGCTTGGATGATTTTGCATGAAGAAAAGAAGAATATTTGCCCAACTTGTGAATCAATGGCAAGAGGAGGCGAGAGAAGATTTTAAGGCACAAAAGAGGAGGCTTTGGAATGCAAGAAAGCGGGCTACAACGCACCTTTTTGGGCTACAACGCGCAAAGGAAAGCAAGAAGACCAGAGAGCAAGAAAGCGCTGCAGCGCGCCCAGAGACCTGGCCGCGCGCTGCAGCGCGCCCAGAGACCTGGCCGCGCGCTGCAGCGCGCCCAGACCCCTGGACGCGCGCTGCAGCGCGCCCAAAGTGCCCAGGGAGGAGTCCCGCGCGCTGCAGTGCGGCCAAAGGCGCTCGCCTCAGTTTCCAGCAGTGAGTTTTGTTTCCAAAAATGCGCGCTGCAGCGCGTTTTCACGCAGGCTGCAGCGCGCGTATGAATCCCTAGCTCCGAAACTGAGTAGTATAAAAGGAAAGAGATGCCACTTGAGAAGGGGAGCCCGGAAAACTGAAGAAAACATCAAAAGGAGGCCGAAATCCTTCATCTTGGAGGTCCTTGGAAGCTCTTCAATGGATTTTGGGTTTTATCTTCTTTCATCTATTTTTCCATATTGAGCTAGACATTAAATCTAGGACTTGATGTAGTTTTATTTGAACTATGTTTTGAATATTTTGTTAATTGTTAATTTAATTTCGTTTTCAATTCATGTATGTTTCTCTATGCTTAATGCTTCTAATTTATTTGGCCAATGAGTTAGATGATTTTTAGATTGCGAATTTGATGCTCGGGAGAGATTGAGTTCTTTAACTAGATTTGAGAAACATAGTCTAGGTTGTTGTGAGACCGGGAGGAGATCAACGGTCAGATAATCAAATTAGGATTTAGGTCGCTGTGAGGCCGGGAGGCGATCAATATTCCTATTTTCTAATTCTAAAGGCGAAGCTTAATTTGTGTTTAAATATTCATTTCGAATAGGGATATTGTTTTGGGTATTTAAATATAGTTCCTTGTGAGGCACTCGGGAGAGGTTGCGAGGTGACATTAGAGCCTTGATTAATGAATTGAACGGAATTGATTAGCGATTACATAATAGGATGAACATAGGAATAATAAAGTGAAATCAAGTCCCTAGACCATTTGTGTATAGATACTATATTTCTATTCTTATATTTATTTTGTTTTTGTTCATAATTATCATTTTATTAGGTTGCCTAGATAAAGTTAAGTTACGATAATTGCGGTACTTAACGGCAATTCTAAACCCAATCCGGAGACGATACTCACTCACCCTATACTCAAAACTTGACACCGTACGCTTGCGGAATTAAATCTATAAAAATATTACGCATCATTGCTACTTGCCTTAAATCTGTAACTTACCTACTGATGAAATACAAAGGGTAATTCTTCATTAAGAAAGCGATAATATACTGAATAAGAAAATGCTGGATAGAAACCTGCAAATGGTCAAACTCATGTTGGAAAACCCGTGCAGGAAGACCAGATAAGTTGACTGTAAACCTTGCACCATTAACATCCCGTGCATCAATCTTTACAGATTCTGGTCTCTGCAAACAGAAAAAAACCATGTCATGATAAAATAAACAGCCAAAAGAGGCATCACAGCCAAGAATTTTCCAGACCAAAAAATATTATCAGGTATTATGTTTCTAAAAAGCAAATCAACAGCGAAGTGAAATATCTTCAATTTAGACGTAACCGAATCAAGTTTAAACATTGGATTAGAATACCAACTTGAAAGGAGAAAGTATGAATATAATCATAGAACTAGTATTATAAGTACCTGAACGTCAGCATAAATGCCCGGGAAGGACAAGCAACCTTCATTAAAAAGCACCATTTTCTTCGAATATCTGCTGACTCTTGGGTTTACAAGAACAATTTCCTCTCCAACGCCACGTTCACCAGCAGGGTTAAGCACCATAAGTTGAACATTCATTCCTACTTGGGGAGCCGAAAGCCCAATGCCATCAGTTCTGCGGAAAACAAGTATTGTTCACACTCCTGTGGATATTTAAAGTTTCTTCATAAGCAAAAATAAATTTAAAAAAAAAAAACGAATTTGGAAAATTCGAATGGGTCATAGTGAAATCAAATTTTTTTTTTTGAAGAAAAGAAACAGAACCCAATAAAGCAGTAAACTTCGGTAGACTAAAACTCACTTGTACATTACGTCGAACATTTCGTGGACTAATTTCTTCAGATTATCGTCGAAGGAATCAATCCGCTTGTTCTTCGCTCTCAGTATAGGGTCCGGGTATACCACGATTTTGAGTGGCGGCTCAAATTGAAGATCAGCAGCTGAAAATGCAAATATCCATGGAAACAAAAAGAACGAAACTTGAATGCAAGTGAAGAATTTATAAGCAGAAATTGATGAGAAACTTGGAAGCACGAATGGCTGTTTGAGCTTACGAGAAGCGACTTCGTCTTCTTTGAGGGAAGAGCCCCGCCTGGCCTGCGCAACGACCGGGACCAGTGGAGCACCGGGCATGGAGGCGAACCGGCCGGTCGAGGGTGAACCGGTGAAGCTACGTGAAATGGCGGGAAAGCTCAACCGGCGAAAGGAAGAGGAGGAGGAGAAGAAGGCAAACGGTGAGAAAATTGGGTGGAGCCGAGCCAAGCAATCCATGCCCACACAAAAATGGCGGTTTTGTGTACTGTTTCTGTGTGTGTCAAAGTCAATTACTGTAAATATCGGAAAAATGTACAAGATGATTTTTGTATTTTTTATTTTTAGAAAGAGAGAACTGCAATAACATCCTCAATTATGTCGATATTAATAGGAACACCTCGTTGACTAAAGAATATTAAACTCAACACCCTCCGATGATCTCATCATAATTTCAACAATTATGTATGGAATAGAAAGACTAAAAAGCCCGTATAATCATAGCCATTAGTTTGAAGTAGAGGTTAAGTTTGGTCTGTCCGGTTGCGGCCTAAATGAAATTTTCGGGTCGAGCTGGACCAACCCTAAAAGAGGTGACCCAGCCCGGCCCTAAGTTCAAAAAGTTTAGGGTCACGGCCTGGTCCAACTCGAAATTTTATAAGGTATTTCAAAATATTTTTAAATATAATGTTTGAACTAGGTCGGTCCGACCCTAAAAGAGAGAAGGTCGATCTAGCCTAAAGCCCAAAAAAATTAAGGCTAGACTAGGCCAGGCTCGGGCTAACAGTGGCATGCCTATACAACAATCCATCCCTACACTTGCCACACTAGAGTCCAACTTATGTGTGTCTGTATGAAGAAAATTTTATTTTCATCTCCTAATTTTGCAACAGAAAATATAATAACCCATTTAGTTCGCTGATTCGAGTTTTTAATTCGAGTTGATATGTGACTTTATGTGAGAACTTTTTACTGTAGTAAAAAAATTATATGTTATTGTTTATGAGAGTTTTTTACCGTAATAAAATTTGAATTCTAAACTCGAATTGGTGAAATGAACGGGACCTTAAAGTTTCATCTTCAATTATTCTGAAGGAGCTTAACATGAGTACTGCTTCTTCACAATCGGAACATGAATAACATCCACGAATTGGTCGAACACTGTAGTTAAGCAAGCTCTTACTAGTGTAAAAGTCCTATTAGTCAATAATAATAATAAAGTCATAAATTATCATTTGGTGTCTTTGCTTTAGAAACTCGGATCTTTAAATATTGTCTATGAAGCGAAAGTCTAATGTTTCTCCTATATTTTCCATGATCAAGGACGTGGTTGAGAACTTTTTTTCAACAACTTTCAGTGTTCTTTAATTTACAATAACAAAAGAAGGGTACAAAAGACCTTCGAATCTTTTTAACTTAATATGATGTTGAACGCCTAATTATTACCGTTCGGTTTGCTAATTCGAGTTTTTAATTTGAGTTAAAGTGTGATGTTGTGTAAGAGTTTTTTACTGTAGTAAAAAAGTTAGATGTAACTGTTTCTGAGAGCTTTTACTGTAGCAAAACTCGAATTCTAAACTCGAATCAGCGAAATGAACGGAACCTATATACATCCGATCCTGTTATTTGAGCTAATTAATCCCGCGCCTTTCCTTGCTGCATGCAATCTCATTAACAGGCTTCCAATGCCAACTCTTCATCACAAGTCCCCCTTTAAGAAATTAACCTCAAGAATCACTTTTCCTTTGTTTCAAATACAGTTATCTGAAAGTTCAACGCCTAAAACCAAAAGGCTAGAAAAATAAAAAGACCGAAGTATAAGGGCATATAAGCAAGATCGATAAATCGAAATAAACAACACTCATTTCCACGAAAATTCACGGTCCAGATTCCACGGCCGTCCTTTTATACACCACTTAAACGACGCCGTTTCCGTAAATGCACTGCACCAATCCGATTTTTTCTGACGAGAAGAGAGAAAAAAAAATAGGGGACTTAAAAAATCGTTTGCTTCGTCTCATTTCTCTTCCTCTTTGATCCTTCTTTCTCTGGTGAGACCCTTTTTCTCCTTTCCATATTCCTCTCTCTAAAATCCCTAATTATTTTCATTTTCTGAATCCAATTTCTCCTCAGATCTCTTCGGATCTTTTCCTGTAGATTATCTAACTATCCTTTGTTTTGAATTATATGTTTTTATTTTTGTTTTCTCTCAATTACTTGTGTTTTTCTGGATAATCTCCTCGTATTTGTTTGATTTCGATTTGCAATTTCTAATTTTCATTCTTGATGTTTGTAATGATTTAAATATGATCTGATTAAGGTTTCTATCGCTCGTTTCATCCTATGATTCAAATTTATATCGCTTATGATGATCTATCTGCCCGATCGTTAAACGATTAGGGTTTCGTTTTTCAACTTTGTTAATGGAGATTTGACATTTTTTTATGTTCAGACTCTGGTTTTTCCGATTGGATTTCGTTAATTTGATGCTTTCTTTTTCTGTTTGTAATTTGATCTTTTTGTATTATTGGTTGTTTGTAATCTTGCTAACGTTTCAGAGTTAATCTGATTTGTAGATAGCAAGAGCGGAGAGCGAAGGAAGGGAAAACAAAAGATTCAGAAATGGGGTTGACGTTCACGAAGCTCTTCAGCAGGCTTTTCGCCAAGAAAGAAATGAGGATTTTGATGGTGGGTCTTGATGCGGCCGGTAAGACCACCATCTTGTACAAGTTAAAGCTTGGAGAAATTGTCACCACCATCCCCACCATCGGTGAGCCTCAATTCTTAGATTCTCTCTTTCTCTTGAGTTTATGAATATCATTCCCATTTTCCGATCGATTAAAGATTTGTAGTACATACTTGTTCAGTTGTTTGTAATAGAAAATGATGTGTTGGGAATTAAACGTACTAATTATTTAGTACCAAGAGCAACAAAATCGAAGAAACAAACACGCATGATTTGTAGTAGTTCACCTTTAATGTGATAGTTTCATCTACTTTCAACAACTGTAGAATTTCACTATAATGAAGAAGATTAGAAGATAAATCACACACCTAATGTCTCTCAGAGTCTGTGTTTTCTCTTATCTCTCTGATAACTCTGAAATTGGCAACCCTCAATATAAGTGAAATTCGGGCAACCAAAATTTTAAGTGTGACTTCCTGAAGTCATATCCTTGGTAAAAATTTGGTCTGTGAGCTCCCCATCAAGAGGGGGGATTCCGTCCTCTTTCCAACCCCATGAGGACCTTACTATGAAGGCTGATCCGTGTGCTAACTCTCCGTCCCCTTTCCAACCCCACGAGGACCTTACTGTGAAGGCTGATCCGTGTGCTAACTCTTCGTCAAGGCAATAACCAGGCTCTACACCCTCAACAATAAGATTATAGCTTAGATGGCGATTTTTGTTAGTGCTTTGAGATATCATGCTGAACGGAGCTTTTCTTGCAGGATTTAACGTGGAGACTGTGGAATATAAGAATATCAGCTTCACTGTTTGGGATGTTGGGGGTCAGGACAAGGTACGTCTCTCTCTCTTGTGTATGTGGATGTGAAAGGTAATTGCAGTTTGCGGTCTCATTTTGTGTCTTCAAGTCGCTGTCTTTTATCGAACTTTGGTTTTAGTGCTTAGATATGTTGGTTGTGTTCCTTTCATTTCATTGGAAAACCTAGTAAATATGTTCAAAACAATTTTATTGTTTTGGGTCAGGTATATATTCCACATGTGTGAGAGCAGCCAGTACATGAAATCTAGAAGTGTCAGTAGCATAGCATATAGATTTCTCCGTCAGAAACAATTGAAATATATGATCTGTTGTAACATACATCTTCACCTCGTGAAGTCATTATTCCTTTCTAAATATAGAACTTTCATATAATAGCAGTGATGCTGATTTCTGTTTCTCCCATGGTTTTAAAAAGTTCCCAAGGCGTACGCCTCGGGACGCGTCTCGTGTCGAGGCGAGGAGAAACAGCCTCAAAGCTTACCCTTTGAGGGGTAGGAGGTGAGGCACACGCCTTTGAGCTGCGCCTCAAGCGGTGGTCAAGGCGTGCGCCTCTTTTGTTCGTCGGCTGTTGATGCTGAGGAAGGAGAGAGATGAAGATTTTTGTGATTTAGTTTTGTTCGGGAGGGGGAAGAGAGGGAGTGAGAGAGAGAGCGCTGCTGCTAAGGTTTTTTGGGTGGTTTTGGCGGCTCTGTGGAGAAAGAAAAGTTTAGGGTTGCTCTAAGAGAGAGAGAGAGACTTGGGCTAAGTTAGGGTTGCTCTGAGAGAGAGAGACTTGGGCCAAATATCAGTTGGGCCCAAAATATTAACAGCCCAAATTTAATACACCCTTTCAAGTCATTAAAAAAAAAAAAAAAAAACCCTATAGCAGCATCTTTTTCACGGTCTTTCCCTCTCATCTCTCCTTCTTTGCATTAACAACCAGACCAGCCGCATAAGAAAAAAAAAAGATTATTGAGTTTTTTTTACGCATCTAGCAGTGAAATAAACTTGTCTTTTTGTGGATTGAGTGGTCTTGTTTCTAATGATTATTGAGTATGAATTTAGTTTTTCATTACTATTATTATTATTATTTTATTATTTTCTTGACATTTTTTGAGACTTACGCCTCGAGGCAAAACGCCTCAAGGCCCGATTCCGCCTTTTGAAACCTTGGTTTCTCTCCATAAGAAACAATTTAATTATTTGTCATCTGTTGTAATGTACATCTTCATCTTGTGAAGATATTTTTCTTTCTGAACTTTATTTTAAGTTCTGTATGTAAGAAGCCAGTAACTGATGCATTTCTTTCTGATATAGATCCGCCCACTTTGGAGGCACTACTTCCAGAACACTCAGGGCCTTATTTTTGTGGTTGATAGCAATGATAGGGATCGTATTGTTGAGGCAAGAGATGAATTGCACAGGATGTTGAACGAGGTAGTTAATGCTTATTTATCCTTATTGTCAGTGTGATTGTTATGTCTTATATATATATATATATATATATATATATATATATTGGATATCATTAAAGCGGAGATGTTATGCTTGGGTGCCTATGTTTTACTTGTTTCTTTTTTACTTGAATATGTGCAACTCTTATAATTTTTATTTCTTTGGATTCGTCGATTCGTCACTGAGTTGCATGCTATCGTTTCCATTCTTTTTAGTAATAATGTTTTGATTTGAATGTTAATTGATCCTCAGGATGAACTTAGAGATGCTGTTTTGCTCGTCTTTGCCAACAAACAAGATCTTCCAAATGCAATGAATGCTGCAGAAATAACTGACAAGCTTGGTCTTCATTCTCTCCGTCAACGCCACTGGTAAATTTTTTCTCTGGCATTTGCTATGCAATTATCTTTTCATTTGAGGAGATGTGGTGAATGTGGCATGAGGTATATTATTCCACATCTGCGTGTTAGCTCAGTGGCTGACCAAGAGAGTACACACAGATTCAGAAAACAAATTGGCATTTCACCCATAACTATTCCACACCTGCGTGTTGCAATGTTCAGTGCTTTCTCGGATACTTTTGAGTACAGATGTTTTGTGACCCAGATAGTAACTTGAAATTATTGGCAATTGGATATGTGTACAAACATACAGAACAAGATTACACTATTGCACCTCTTTTACACAAAAATCTATAGCTCGTATTTTCGCTGATATCTGGTTTCCATTTTTTCAGGTACATCCAGAGCACATGTGCAACCTCCGGAGAAGGTCTGTACGAGGGGTTGGAGTGGCTTTCGAATAACATTGCTAGCAAGGCAAGTTCGCTAACATGATTTTTTATTTCAGTTCTGCTTGTTGGGTTACAGAATGGTTCCTATATTATGTTCCAAAACAAATGCAAAATCAATTGACAATTAGGTCTATTGTTTTAGACCTAATTGAAACCTCAAATCGGTTCCTGATAAGCATCTCTCCGTCTTTACAGGCATGAGGGTGTTCGAGGATTTTCGTGTTTTGTGGGTGACAACTTCAGGAAGGATAGTTTTCTTAATTAAGTGAAATATTGTAATAGCAGACTGTTTGGCTAGAACTTTTGAGTTTGATATGTAATTCGGGTTTGCAAAGTCGCCACCTTAGCTATACCTTTTACTTTTTAATTGTAATCAGAGCTGCTATGATTTTTATAATCGAATTTAGTATGGCCCGTGTTCAAGTTATATCTTCTTTGCTCTGCGTATTGCTTGGTTGAACTTCAAATCTTTGGGCGACGCTGTAGATTTCGTCTTATAGACGTTTTGTGGCTGTTTCTCCTGTTATCAACTCATTCCCATGCCCAAAGGAAATTTTGTTTAAAGATTTTTAATATCACATTCTAGTGTATGTGGATCTATCAAACATTTATCACCTCAAGTTTGTAATGTTCATTTATCACCAGGACTATGGGACTTGAAGAATGTCCCTCGCCTTCCTTAAATACTATTAAATTCATAGCTTTTTCCTCTTTTCAAAATCAAATTCAGAAGGGCATTTTAGGTTCGGTCGGTTTTATTTTTGATCTCATTGGTTGATTGAAACTGAAAGTTTAACCAAACCGATTGGGATTGAAAATTTAGGGGGAAAAGAGATTAATACCTTTTCAAGGTGTATAATTTTAGATTTTTGTCCTTGATTTTTTATTATTGTTTTAGTCAAATAACTATAATAGTTGAAAGGGTATTAATAAAAAATAAATGGTAAAAATTAAAGGCTCGTTTCGTAAAGGGATTCGTTCCCTGATTCGAATCATGATTCGTGGTTTGTTACAGTATTTTCTCTCACAAAAAATACACGTAAATTAAAAATGATTCTAATCACATGATTCTAATCCATAAACCAAACGGTATTTAAGATTTATGTCCTCTTAAGTGAAAGTTTAGTAATTTTCTCAAAAATTGTTTTTAATATTTCCATTGATGCAATAGTTGGTTTGGTTGGGATCAATCGGTTTAGGCCTCTAGTTTTAGGTCCGTGATAGCAGGTCCACTAAGTCTTTTTTAGCGTTACTTTTTTAAGTATCTCACATATTAAAGGTACTCATTTTAAAAAACTCTATCCTTACTAATTTTAGCCTAAAAAATAAAAATATATGAGTTAATATAAATGAGCTCTATTTCAAGGGGTATTTTAAAAATTGTCCCTTGTCTTTTGCTTTTGGTTTTGAAAAAAATTACATAGTATGTCATCACAAATCTATATTAATGCCATCTAGTGTCTCGGTTTTTCTTTTTTTATTAATTTCAATATTCTATCAAAATACTCTTCAAAAATTGGAATTAAATAGACCCGGTCATCTTTATAGAAAATAAAACATAATTTGGTAGGATATTTAATATTCTATTGAAATTATTTCTGATAAATTAAGTGGCATAAATGTTAAATTTATACTATTAGTTGCCATAAATGTAAAAATGACATTTTTTGAGTGATATTTTTATATTTCCCTCGTTGTTTTTTTTATGAGGTTTTTTTTTTTTTTTTTTGGTGTGTTTAAGCAATGTATTTAGGGGGAAAAAGATACATTACTTTGCCTATATCTTGCTTTTGATTTTTTTATACAGGTAATTGTTACATAAAAAAGGTTAAGTTTTCATTACTTCTAATCGGTGAAATACAAACATAGATTTATTGGCATGCTAAATAATTGATCAAATGTCCACACTAACCGTGCATTATGTTTGGTAGGAGAGAGGGATGGGGGAGGAAGAGCTCGAATCTCTTATTTGGTTAGAGAGAGATGAGAGGTAGAGAAGTGTGTTCTTCTTCATGGCCCACCAAATTGGATTCTATTGATGGAAGGATTCAAACAATCTATTCACTTTTAGTTTAAAAGACTATTTTACTCTATGATTAAATTATTAACAAAAAATTTAAATAGACAATATAGTAATTTAACAAAGAACTGTCATTTATCCTTTCAACTCACCCTCCATCCTACTAAACAATACGAAGGATTGTTACAATTCTCTCTATTTTTTCTACTCCTCATCCATTTAACTCTCTCTATTCTTCTTACTCTGAATCCCTCCAACCAAACGGAATCTTAATCTTTTCTATTAACATTTGGGTGAATTGTAAGAAGTGAATAAGATATCATCTATCCTAGAGCAAAACGTTCAAAAAAAAAAAAAAAAAAAAGGCCAAAGAAAATCAAGGATATTTGGTTTTCCCGCAACATAAGAATTGGGTACCTAAATTAGAGCAATTCTACAGAGTGTGATCAAATTCTCAGCCACTTGTATATTCCTGATTTGCTTATTAATTATTGTTATTATCACACAAAACTCAATAAAACATGTTCTTGTTTGTGTTCCAGCTTCATAAGGATTGCTATTCAATTGATATTTTTTAATCATGAAATTAATTGAACATATAGACGCACCGTCACTCACGTGGGATCAGATTCAAATGGCCCAGTCCACCGTGGGAGTTGAGCAATTTGCTTCCCATGCCATGCATGCCAGTTGTAATAGTTCTCTTTTGTATTGCTAAGTACAAGCATTTATCTTCAATTCCATAGCACTATTAAGGGGGTTTGGTTTTGTGGCTTTTCTTTGTTGAACCCAGCTTAATCTTCCTTTTATATCAATTATCAACCGCCTAATAATTATAGGTACTGTATATGTGTCTGGGTTTAACTTTAAACCCAATTTTTTCCCTAAATTTTTTTTTGGAATTAATTAACACAATTACATATAAATTCCACATGGAAATGTTCCTAATTGGAAATTTGTGTTTATCAAAATGAATGGGAAGTATATTAATAGTAACGGCACACAAAGAACTTGTAATAGCAGAAAACACAAAATAATAATAATAAATAATTAAATAAATAAATTTTGTGTCGGATAATTAGATGCAGCGTATACGTATATAGGTAAAGTCTTTCAAAGGATTAATTGAGCTAACATATAATACATATCTAGCTATAGATATAGTGTATCTAATTTTAGCATTGCTTTTGTTTAGCCATACCATACGCAAGAGTGTCAAATGAGAAATTTGTTATTGGATATGGGAAACAAGGAATAAGAAGGCCTTCCTAATATAGTAATAACAGGAATGGTTAATTAAGACCATTTATTCCTAATCCAGCCAATCTTATGTATAATAATCTCATGTAAATTTTAATTTATGTGGAACAAGTTAAACACTCGAATCTAGTTACAATGATATAATTTGTTAAAGGAGATAATTATAAAAGATTTTTTTATATATATATATAAACCAAAATGATATACAACATATCATAGATTAGCGAGTGGTGTTTCTTTGTGCAGTGCATTTGCTGTATTTCATGCACGCCTTAGAACATGATATTTTCCATATTAGTGGAAGCATTACCGTTACAAAAGTACAACATTACTGTATTCATCTTGGCAAATTAGGTTAAACATGACTTATTGCATATATAATAATATCTACATATGGAATTAATTGAGCGGGAGTTCATTCTGATGATATGTACCCTGATTAAGTTAATTACCGACTAAATAAAACGTTTATTTATTCACAAATGAAAAGAAGTTGGAAGTGATCACCAAGACCAATTCAAAAACAAAATAAGAAAAGAACATTAACATCATTCTCTACTTTCAATTTTCGGGGGGAGAGAGAGAGAGAGAGAGAGAGAGAAGAATGTTAAGCATCTATAACGTCTTAGCTACGACAGCCATTTTTTTTTTTTTTTTGGTAATTTTGGATATTTTCTTAAGTAGTATATTAATTAATTAGCAGTAGAAACTGGTATATTAATAATCTACACATTCGGTATACTATACTGTTTTATGTAATATAACGTTATTTTTTTTCAAGCATACATATATATATGCAAAGTTGTACTCGTGTGTAACGTTATTAATTAACACAAGTACACCTTTGCATATGCTTAATTGTCAGTTACCATACGAATTGTCAGATCCTAGCTAATTTCTAATTGATTGATTTATTATTAATATCTCTTTCTCTCAGCAAAAAAAAAAAAAAAAAAAAAAAAAAAAAAAAAAAGAGAGAAGATACATATATCTTGAAGTTCTTTGAACAATCTATGTCCGCTTTTGATCCAAAATTATTTATACTATCAAGCGACAAGTCGTAGCTCTAAGAGTACATACTATAATTGCATCATGACAACAGCCTTGGTTGGTAATTAATATACAGTTGAATTAGATTTGGTTTATACATATATAAGCTAAGATTAGCGCATATAAACAAACCAAGCAGTACGATCCTGATCAAATTATTCGAAATATTGTTCCATATATATAAGAATTTTTCCAATTAAAAGGCAAATTCTTTTTCGCGCGCCCTCTGGAAAAGAAAACAAAAATTATATGAACTTACTATTATTGCGTGTTGTTTTTTGTTTTTAGTTTAAAAGTTAAAAGATTTGGCCATGTGATATGATTATTTATCTCCCTTCTCTTATGCAATCAAGAAATGAAAGTACATGTTAAGAAAGGCATGCACCTTTGAAATTGATCACATCATGTTGGTCATAGTCTATTGAGCCTGTTATTATGGATAAGGATACCAAAAATACTAATGAATTCTTTTATTTTCCTCTTGAAAAACATTAATACTGTTAATTATTAGTGTATTAATGCCCATAGCTGCCTAATATAGAATTGAACACATATGTCCCCTTATTTATGTCTCTTTACATGTCACCCAATAAGATTAAGCGACGTAAATTGAAATATTTTTACAGGTCATAACTTTTTAATTGATGCAATATGAGAATTTAATTAACCTGACATAATATTATTAGAGAGACATGAAAGTGAATATGAATAAAGAGATACAAAAGATCGGTTCCCCTAATATCGTCTCACTCTCACTTTTTTTTTTCTTTTTTCCCCTAAGACCATTTACTTTTAATTTCAAAATTAACTGTCATGAGTTCTCCCTTTAATAATGTTTTCTTATCGTTCCTTAATTAGTTAAAAAAACCCCATTTAACATTTTTTTTTGTGCTAATAAAATGGGGACCATTCTATTGCAGCCTTATATAATTTCTCAACCATGCACATGCATGATTTCGTTATAATCCATTTTTCAATATTCCCTTTTTTTCCCTTATAGATATTTTTCTTGAGACATATCTCTATGCAATTTGCATGCTAACAAAGTAATGCAAATGCGTGTATAAAACCCCAAGCTACCTCTCCATTTTCCCATCCCATTTCTGATTTCTCTCCCCCTCTCTCTCTCTCTCTCTCTCTCTCTCTCTCTCTCTCTCTCTCTCTCTCTCTCTCTCTCTCTCTCTTTCCCTCTGTTGGAATTAGGCCACAGAGGGAGAAAAAAGAAGAAGATGGATAACAAAAAAGCAAGTAATATTAACTCCTCTCAAGACGTAGAAGTGAGAAAAGGGCCATGGACAATGGAGGAAGACTTGATTCTGATAAACTACATTGCGAATCACGGCGAAGGCGTATGGAACAGTCTAGCCAAAGCAGCGGGTAGTACATATACAGTAACTTATAATATAACATATTATAATTCTCTAGTTGATCCTTGTAGCATATAATTAACGTTTTTGTAGTTAGAGTTTTACACACTAATTATCATCAAACTTTATGAAAATTAGGTCTGAAGCGTACCGGAAAGAGTTGCCGGCTCCGCTGGCTGAACTATCTCCGACCGGACGTTCGGAGGGGGAATATTACACCTGAGGAACAACTTATTATCATGGAACTTCATGCTAAATGGGGAAATAGGTATGCCATTTCTACGTACGTGGTGATTAGCTAATATATGATCATGATATTAGTTAGTCGATGTTCGTACTAAACTATTAATATATAACACTATTTTTCATCCAATATCTATGATTGGTACTTATTTGGATGAGAAAGAAGGTTTTTCTTTCTGATTTCATATGATCCTCTCGTTACTATATAGCAATTATTTGCATTCTTAATTGTTCTTGTAGAGATAGACAAAGGGACATTTTCGCTATAATTAGCTGTGGGAACTCATAACGGCCATACAAAATTAAAAAAAAAAAAATTGATTAATTTGCAAAAGTTGTTAATTGATTTTTCAAGGCCACATCCAAAGACTTCCGTAATCTTGTTTCTTTTTATTTTTGATTCATCAATACTTTCTCTTCTGCATTCTATAGTAATTAATTTCGTTCATGATCATAATTATCAAGATGGAAAGTATATAAATATATTTGTGTGTATATATAATTTGGCCTAAAAAGTTGCATCATTCTTTTTCTCCTTTTCTTCAATTTTGAGATCATGAGCCACCAAAAAAACACGTACGGGAATAAAACTCATCATGGCTTGATGTACTATATATGGGGTTATGAGGTGCAAAAAGGATGATGGAGATGCACCAAGAAAGATTAATAGGCGTATACATATATATAGATATAGATAATATATATTTTCCGATGTTAGTAATATAGTACTAGCTTTGAAAAATGTTGTCAATATGCAAAAACAACTTATATTACAGCTGTGGATATGGGCGGGGCAAGAAGTTGATGAAAGCGAAACAGCAAATTGGGGCAATAATAAATTAAAGCTTCCCTTCTTAGCTGAACCTCTATCAATGGGTCCCATGTTAACTCTTCCCTTTCTCAAGAAAGAAAAAACCCCTTTTGCCTTTGGTTGAAATAGACATCAACCATATAAGTTCTTCGCCTCTTCTACACCAAGGGCATGGTCCCCAGCTCATTTTTTTTTTTAATATTATTATAATATGGAAAATTAATATGGGTGAAGCTATGAAAACTTTCTCTAACAAAAAAAAAAAAAAAACAATTGGACAATTAAAAAAGAGTAAATACATGATCTCGTTCCTTTATATTGAAGTTTAGAACTAATTAAAACCAGCAGGATACATTAGATTTGTAAAACATGCAAAATTAAGTCCGACATCCTTTTTCATTTTCTTGGCTAGGATTGATGATGAACATTTAAATTTGTTATTAATTAACCATATATTGACCATATCATATATCTCTATATCCATTGTCTATAAACTTTTTCTAAGTACTGGAGAGAGAAGATCAGGAGGGAGAAAGAGAGAGAGAGTCTCAAGACCCATCTATGATTTCTTCTTCTTTTTGGCCAGATCTCACAATTTATAATATGAGTCTTCATAGGGAAAATATATGCGCCATTTTAAAAGGAATAATGATATATAGTACTAGTTATAGACAAACGAGTGCTAGCAAACTAACTAAACAAAAAAGAAAAAGAAACACATTATGCATATAGATATATACAAAGTACCTATTATATGCATGCTAGCTGTGCTTTACAATCTTAAGCAATGATGGACTCCCAAGTAAGCTCGGTGAATATGTAAATGAAAGAACATGGAATTATAATATTATTGTTTGGAATTGAATTGAAATTGGTGATTGCGATGCCTAAAGGCAAAGCAAGACGTGTTTTTTTTTTTTTTTTTTTTTCCCATCGGAAGTAGCTTTCAAGCAACTAGTTTAGTTTCCCTTAAATAAAAGAGCCCAACATGTAAGACTTTCATTTTCACCATGGAACATGCCCCTTTAATTATTACTAATATAAAATATATTTATAAAATATTTCCATATTGATCCGCAAGCTTCTCAATCTCATCACATCTAATCCATAAAAATTAGATCGTAGCTGTATGTCACGAAAACACTTTCTATATATGGCATTTTTTTATTATATTCGAGCTCTTTTTTTTTTTTTTGGCAATTATATGCCATAATCATGATTGAGATTGATGTTTGCACAAGTTGCCATACATATTGATATTCTGAGTCAACATAGATTGAACATGTATGTAGTACTTGGAAACGTGCATAAATTAAAGTGACAATTAACAAACGACCCTGATCACACACACACACAGAGTACTAGATTTACCAACGTGAAACAAATGTTAGTTTCAATGTTGATTTTGCAGTTATATATATATATATGTTCATCCACTATCTTATTTCTTTAACTTCCATTTTTTGACGATCCGTTATATAATTATCCCCATTATATTAATTTTTAATAATTAATATTTTCACACTTAATATATATTTTTTAATGAGCTAGTTGAAATTTATGCTGCTATTTTCTTCTTCTTTTTTTTTTTTTTTTACTTGGAGTGGTGACATCTAACTCTATACTTTATGGTGGAGTTAGATATGAAATTATCGTTAGAATATATTTGAAACCGTGAAATCTATGCTACTTAATAGTACTAAATGAGAAACCATATTGGTCAGCATAGATATATGGTAGTAAATTTTGATAATGAATTAAGGAAAGAAAATTGGGAACTAATCTAGATTCAAATTAATCAAATTGCATACACACCAATATCCTTGCTAATTAATCACGTAGGTGGTCGAAAATTGCGAAGCATTTGCCGGGAAGGACGGACAATGAAATAAAGAATTACTGGAGAACAAGAATCCAGAAGCATATTAGGCAAGCTGATCAACATCAGAGCAACAATATGATTCACAGACAAAACTCCGAGATGATGATCATCAATAATCAAGCAAGCACAAGCCAAGCATCGGCCTGCAACACTGTAGATGCAATGGAGATCAGTAATACTTATTCTCCACCATTTATATCACACCAAGGAAGTTACAATATAGATCATCAGACTAATTATCCTCTCGCTTTACCTCCGACAACTACTAGTACAACTTCATCATCAAATATTGATCATCAGAACTATAATTGGAGCGCCATGGAGGATCTCTGGTCTATGCAATTATTCAATTCAGATTAGTTGACGTCTTAAAACAATATTATATATATATATATATATCAATGGTCAAAATTTTATATATTATTTACAAATACATATATTCTTCCTGGCCATCTGGAGTACTATGGGGTATAACTATTTTAGGTTTCTTTATAATTGTACGAATATTCTTCATATATATATATATATATACGTGACATTTTTATATTGTATACGTACTTTCATATATATTTTAAGCATGGCTTGTAATATGTAGGATTACAAATAATATAAATTATATCTCTTAAAGTTGTATCCATAGAAATCAATTAAAGATCAGTCTTTTCTATCTTTTTAAGTGTTATTTGTTATGGATATATATCTCAGAATATTTGGGATATAAATTGAGCAGGACCAAATAGATATACATACACTAAATTAAGCCACAAGTGGCTGAAATATATCTTTCATGGTAGACAAATACCAAGGTGATGTCTCTTTCTGTTTCCTTGGAATGACTATATATTATTTACGAGAAACTATAGATAGTTGTACCTCCATAGCTTATTTAGTGATAATTTTTGTCTGATAAGGACTAACTCTCCACTTACTGCTTTAAGCATGACTTTTCCTTTCTCTAACCTGAATAGCTTGATTGCTTATACTAATAGAAGTAAAGTCAATCTGTATTTAGTTCAACAGAGACCTAATATTTTGTTGAGATTGGCACATGCCCTTTTCTTTTTTTTTTTTTTTAATTTCTTGGCGATGATAATTATTTTCTATACAAAAGGTTTAGTGGGGTCCGATTATATAATCGATATATATATATATAGGTTTTTTTATCGAGGGGGAATATTCTATATATAACTGCATAGATATATATAAGAACATGAGCAACATGCGTACACATGAAGACATATGAATATTCATTACAAAAACAAAAGTACTGATCGAACCTAATCGAAATTAAACCTCCACATGCTAAAGGCAACATTTTCTATTCTTGTCAAATTGTATCTCTTCTTTTCCGAAGATGTGCATGGCCATGCAAAGCAAACTAATTAGATCCGACGTCAACCTAACTCTTTGCAAAGACCTCTAAGGAAGTGTTCACATGCCCCCACACCCTTCTAATTATTCATAATTATGATCTACTTGTCAATGGTCTAGCACACAAAAAAAAAAAAAAAAAAAAAAAAAAAAAAAAAAAAAAACAATTTTTTTTTGCTAATTAAAAAATGTGACTCGTGGTTGCCATCACATCCTCTATCCTAAGACCTCAAAGGAAGTCTTCACATGCCCCCACACCCTTTTTAAAGTCACAATGATCTACTTGTCAATGGTCTAGCCACAAAAATTTTGTTTTTTGCTTTTTATTTATTATTATTATTATTATTTTGCTTGCTGAAAAAAGGACTCACGTATGCCATGACACCCTTTATCATGTCGTATATATAAGAAATATCGTCGTCCCCAATTCTACTCATCTAGATTAAATCTTTAGATTATTACGTTTCTTTTTAATTTACATTCTAAATTTTAAAAACTCACGTTTTACCTCTTGAGCTTTAAATTATTTTCACTTAACTCATTTTGTTGTAATTTCTATTAAAAACAGATAAAAAAAAGAAAATAACATAGTCACGGGGTCTTTTTATTTAAATTTCTGTTAAAAAGAAACAGATAAAAATCACATGACCACACTTAACTCTCTCTTTTTCTGTCTGATTTTAATAGAAATCACAACAAAAACACTTAAGTGAGAACAATTCAAAATTTAAAAGATAAAATAAGAATTTTTAAAATTTAAAAAATAAATTAGGAATTACTTTAAAATTTTGGGACACTAGTGAGAATAATTCTAAATCTTTAATAAGAATCCACTCATTTTCAAACATAGAATACTAGCTGGCAGATGATTAATATATTTTTGAAAAATGATATTAAAACTATATTAGTGGTATATCTACGTATAACAACTCGTTTAGTTTTAGTGGATGACATCGGATTATACCTAGGCTAGCACTTGAAATGCAGCCAAACCCTCGACTTTAGCATCCAAGACATATTCACAGAGAGGATATTTTCGGGCTTTGCATAATCTCTCTCTCTCTCTCTCTCTCTCTCTCTCTATATATATATATATATATATATATATACACACACACACACACACATACGCCTATAAATGGGAAAAGAAAAAAGAGGGCATTGGTTTGTGTGCTTTCACTGTTGAGCTTAGGTCATTCGGAAAGGAACTTCCACTTCTTAAATTGAGCCGCTCATTTATTTTTTTGGTCACATTTTTTATGTGCGAGTATCAATTTCAAAGCTAGCATATATATAAGGGATATATAGCTGTCTGTCATGTGGGAAGATAAGGAAAATTCACATGATGGGTCGGAAATGAGTGCAAAAAAGAGGTCATAAAATGATGAAAAATAGTGCTTTTGGGTCCATTATCTAAACCAGTGGAATAATTTATAGCATTACTTACTCTTAAGGCAAGTACTACCGTATATGACAATTAATCATAACCAGAGTTCGTTTAAAGCGTATAATTATTGTATAGATTTGTGGATATTATTCCTTAATTAAATCATGTTATGGAAAGGTGGTCAAGATCAATATTGATCAGAAATGAAATATCTGTACTTATAACTAAACAATTGACAATTATATATATGAATGTCCATATGTTTATGTTGACTATGACCGTACATAAGTCAGCAACTGATAAATTAGGGATTATTATGCGATTGGCATGTAGGGGTGATGAAAGTAAAATATTTAGAACTCGTTTAGTTCGTTGATTTAAATTTTTAATTCGAATTGAGATGTGACTTTATGTGAGTTTTTTACTGAGGTAAAAAAATTAGATGTAACTGTTTTTTAGAGATTTTTACTGTAACAAAACTCAAATTCTAAACTTGAATCGGTAAAATGAACGTGATCTTAATTTATTAAAGAACTCTCATGCAAATATAGATTAAATACTGAAAGTTGTTATTCTTTGATGAAAATAATAAAGCTTCTTCATAACTGAAAGGTGTGGGACCGTGGGTGCAAGTGTTCGTTAGTCATTTTTCATATTTTTTTTCCTTCTTCTGACGATCGAAGGTTATACTTCACGTGTTAATTGCTTGTATTATTGTATATCCATGCATTTTTTTTTTATGGAGTATTGTATATTTTTTCTCCTCTTTTCCTTTCATTGTCTACTTCTTTTTTATTAGGCAAGGAAGGAAAGTGATATATATGAATTGATATATGCGAAAAATAAAAAGGGGAAGTTTAATTCATCATGATAAGAGAGTAGTCATTGAATATGTATATGCAACATCAACAACCTTGCAAAATAGGAAAATATTGACAAGTGCATTGACAATATTAAAGTAGGCATGAGTGATATCGAAGTGTGTAAGCTACTTGAGTAACAAGTTGGCTTTTTTCTGTAGATCTGTTATTCCATTTTTCTGTTTTAATGGTTATTCCTTTAATTAAATTTTGACATTTTGTGAATTATTAATATGATAAATAAATAGTGGAGAGATAATAACTGAGACAGATATATAGAAACATCATATATGGAATAATCATAATTATATAATCGAAGATGTAAGTTTGGGAATGATGATTAAAAAAAAAATAACAATAATAAAGTGCACGGTGTGGGATCCGCAGTCTCATGTGGATATGCACACGGGCTACTTGGCAATTGGCATGGCAAGTAGAGAATGTTTTTCAAGTAGTGATTTTACAAAAAAAAAAACAAAAAAAAAAAAAAGTGCCCTTTACAAATTCCCAAATAACAAGTCGTCAAGTCGTTTTACAAAAGCTAAAATTTAACAAAAATAAAACGACGAGTTGTATTTAACATGGTATTGCAAATCACTTCTTGTTATCTTGATATTGACCGGTCTATATATACACACAAAAAAGCAAAAAGAAAGTCTTCCTCTCATTATCTCTATAATTCATCTAATCAATTGGGGATATATATATATACATACATATATATATATATATGTATATATATCGATGAGCTAAGTCTCCACTCTGCCCGTCGCCCATCAATTAGGAGGTCTTATATGAGTATGACTATGCCAGTTTGTTTCATCAAATTAGAATCTCTCAAGTCTTAACTTCAACGGAGAGAGACGTGAATGGCATGGCAATTTCCACTTCTTTAGTTGCCTAATTCAGTTTGGAAAAACTATCAGCAATATTGTACGAAACTGAAACATTATCTCTTAAGTTGGAAACATGATCAAGTTATTTCTGGCACGTTATACACACCGAATTACAACGTCATGATAATAGTACAAGTTACAACTTTGGCTACCATAGGTTCATGTAATTTACATAAATTAATTGATAAGAACATGGGTTTTTTTTTTTTTTTTTTTTTTTTTTTTTCCAGCAAAAAAAAATGGTTTTTTTTTTTTTTTTTTTTTTTTTTTTTTTCCAGCAATAAGAAACACACGAAATCTAGTATGGATTGTACTTGAATAAGGCGTAAAAGGGGATTAAAAAGGAAGAGAGCGATAAGAGTAGTTAAAAGGCATTTTGCATTGAGTTTCTTGTAGTTAGCACTTTCAACCTTAATTTTACCCACACATTTAAAAAAATGTCAAAATGTGTTAAGTAAAATTATGTAGAAAAAAGCCCCTACACATTTTTTTTTTTTTTTTTTTTTTTTTTTTTATGTGTAGGCAAAGAGTACCTACCCACACAAAAATGTGTAAGTAATAAGTCACAAAATATGTAGGAATTTTACTTTGAAATATGATGTAGCGGATGGCATGGGTTATGACGTGGCAATCCACGTAGCAGATGTTTGTTGATTAGGATGCGTGTGTGGCACTCCACGTGACAAACACTTGTTGAGTAAAATGCTTACATGGTAATTCATGTGGCATAACCACATTGGAGCTTTGATGACTTGGCGGCTGACATGATCAAACACGTGTCGCTAACATGTCCTCTGACATTGAATATGTGTCACACCACATGCTCATATACTGTTGATGTGGTTCTGACATGTTAATGACATGTCGCTGATGTGGTGGATTAAACAATGTACGTTAATAAATAATGATGATTATATATTCGGTCTTATAATTATATATTATAGACCGAACAACGATATTTTAACATCTCTGAGGCCCTAAACTTCTTTTACATTTTCTTTTTAAAAAAATTGTAAAATTTTGATAAT